AGTTAGTATCAAATAATATATTCGTATTATTTATTACATTCTTTTTATTGCTATATAGATGTTCTGAATTTAATGCGTTAACATAAATCATTCTTAAATATTACCAATCAATCTTGTGAATTAAATTTATACAATACTCCCTCTATTTTTAAAAATTGATGTTTTAGACTTTTCACATATATTAAGAAAACTCATTAAATTTTGATTGTAAATGCATTGTTTTTTATGAATAAAATTTTTCCATAGCTTTTAGCCAATATAAATTCAATAAACACCATTAATTTTTTTGAAACTTACAATTTTNTTTTGATTGTAAATGCATTGTTTTTTATGAATAAAATTTTTCCATAGCTTTTAGCCAATATAAATTCAATAAACACCATTAATTTTTTTGAAACTTACAATTTTTCATTAAATCATACATTGAAAAGGTAAAAAATCAATCTTTTTGAAATTTGATTTTTTTCCAGAACATCAATCATTTAGGAACGGAGGGAGTATATATTATGTGATGTTGTAATCATCATTAATTGGTAATCATTAATGTGGTAAATGTGGACATATTTTTCATTCAAGGCAAGTTGTGAGAATTAAATAATAAACAAGTAATAATATAATTGTTAAATGAGGATAATAATAACTATAAAAATGACCTTATTATATATTGAGATCTGAAAAAAATAATCTAATAAAAATATAACTAAAAAAACAATAACGAATACATTGACTAAATAATAACATGTCATTAGAACGAAAATTAGATAATTTCATCTCTTCCAGCAGATTATTACTAAAACATGAGTGTTATTACAATACAATTATTTTAAAAATTGTCATGAGCACAAGAAAAGACTCAATGTGTTTTTATTTGTAATAAATAATAATGAATAACGCGGATAGTGATAAAAGACTAAATGTGTTGTTCGTAGAAACTATTCACAAATAAACATTTTTCGAAAAAATTCGAGATCCCTCGCTCTTGATTTTTTTGTGGGAATGTTTTTTGTTGACAGAGTGTTGATCCTCCAAGGTTACTGTCATGATCTTCTTGGTTTTTGCTTTTGGACAAATGAGTTCCTGAAAAATCACCACAAGGAAATATAACATCATGACCTGCAAGAGAAATAGTTCATCTCATTAGTATGCTATTGTAACTATAAAATCTAAGCAATTATAAAGTGTAATACCGATTTAGAAGGTAAAGCAGAAAATATTATTTTTTATAATAAATATTTAAACTGAATAAAGAAAGTTATTAGATCTACAATATCATAAGCTGATTTGAATTAAATATTAGTTTTCTTGTGCAAGTTATATTAATTTAAAATAAGGCATGAAGCAATTTAAAGAAATATATTAAAAATTGGAAAAAATTTCATAATAAGCCATGAAGCAATTTAAAGAAAGATATTAAAAATTGACTGTCATAAATTTGCAATAATTGACATACCATTTAAGACAAGTAATTGATGGAAAAATAAGGTAATCAACATATCAACTTGCACAAGTAAATGATAACAAAATAGGGCAAGTTATTAATAAACGGATTAACTAATTAAAAGCTTTTACAAACAAGGTATATCTTTCCTAATACCATAATATGAGTATAAAATTAAAGAATAATAAATAGTTTTGATTTTGATATATTGTAAATATATAGAAATATATAACACAATCCCATAGAAACCTGCAAAGAAAATGTAATAAAATTTTTAAATATAACCCATAAGTAATATAAAATACGAAGAACAGTTATGAATTAAAAATATCCCATAGAAACCTGCAAAAAATTGTCAAATTTTGTTAGCAACGGTACAATATAAAATAATTTAATAGATTTCTAAATTTTATTGAGACGAAAATAATATTAAATTTGCATATCGCTATTGAAACAAACTGAAAATGGTTTGTAGCTAACTACAACAGGTCTTTCGTCTGTGTTATTTATCTGTTAATAGAAAAAACAAACAAATGTAAGAATTTATAAATTTAAATTTTTTTATCGAATAAAAATAGACTAATAAGTTAGTATTGACATAGGTGTCTCCTTTATATATACTCCACCTTCCTTTTTTCTTATGTTATTAGGGAGATATTTTCATAACAAATGATGTTTAAGAATATAATTTCATAAGAAATAATGAAACAGTCCAAAGAAAAATATTAAAGTTATATTGTCATTAAATGATTTACAATTAATATGTTATAAACTTGTGCAATTAAATCATATTCAAAATAAGGTAAGTTTTTAAAAACGAATTAACAAATTAGAAACATTAAGATAAATTGCATTAAAACAATGTAATAAATATGATTTGAAGTTGCACAAGTAATATGTGTTCAAAATAAGTTTATAAAGACGAATTAACAAATTAGAAACATTAAGGTAAATTGCATTAAAACAATGCAATAAATATAATTTGAAGTTGCACAAGTAATATGTGTTCAAAATAAGGTAGGTTATTAATAAACTAAAAACATNAAGTAATATGTGTTCAAAATAAGTTTATAAAGACGAATTAACAAATTAGAAACATTAAGGTAAATTGCATTAAAACAATGCAATAAATATAATTTGAAGTTGCACAAGTAATATGTGTTCAAAATAAGGTAGGTTATTAATAAACTAAAAACATTAAGGTAAATTACATTTAAACTATAGATATTTAAATATTAAATGAAATATAATAAAGAAAAAATAAATATAAAAAGTAGTTGATATAACTTTTTCATTAATAAGTATTACTATATATATTTAATTTTAATTAAAAAGATCATATAAAAATGTTATCAAATAGAGAATTTTTTGATCATATAAAGATGTTATCAAATATATTTAACTTTCAAGATGTTATCAAATATATATTTAACTTTTATATAAAGATCATATAGTTGATATAACTTTTTCATTAATAAATATTACTATATATATTTAATTTTAATTAAAAAGATCATATAAAGATGTTATCAAATAGAGAATTTTTTGATCATATAAAGATGTTATCAAATATATATTTAACTTTCAAGATGTTATCAAATATATATTTAACTTTTATATAAAGATCATATAAAGATGTTATCAAATATATATTTAACTTTCTCTCCACTGATGTTATCAAATAGAGAATTTTTTTTACCATATTGAGGAACAAAGATGTTATCGAAATGATATATCAAAGAGGTGTACAATCAAATCATATATAGCTTCAGTGGAGAAATCGTCATAATAGGATATCTGCATATAAACCAAAAGAAAAATCAGCTCTCAATCTAATCACGAGATGATATAGCTGAGAGATGTTATTAAATAGAGAATTTTTTTTACCAGATTGAGGAACAAAGATGTTATCGAAATGATATATCAAAGAGGTGTACAATCAAATCATATATAGCTTCAGTGGAGAAATCGTCATAATAGGATATCTGCATATAAACCAAAAGAATAATCAGCTCTCATGAAATATAAAAGCTTAATGTTCTAAAATAAGAAAAAAAAGCAAATTCAGAACATTATTAACATAAAAAGTTCAGAATACAAAGTTCAATGATTTCATTTCTTCTACTGTGAATGTTTTATTTATAGTAAATTGATGGACGTTTCTCAATGATTTAGCTTGCATGATAAGCTAAAAAGTAACATATTCTCTAATAAATTCTCAATAAATCTTATACTTTTAAGGTAATATTATTTTTGGAATATCTTGTTGATAAAGCTAAAGGAGAACATCTCGTGAGAAAATATTGGTTTTAGAGAGAAAATATCTTATCAATTAATTTTGTTTTAAATGCATGATTTTAAAAGTGAAAATATCTTGTCAATTAATTTTGTTNTTATACTTTTAAGGTAATATTATTTTTGGAATATCTTGTTGATAAAGCTAAAGGAGAACATCTCGTGAGAAAATATTGGTTTTAGAGAGAAAATATCTTATCAATTAATTTTGTTTTAAATGCATGATTTTAAAAGTGAAAATATCTTGTCAATTAATTTTGTTTCTCTGACATCTAAAATATTTAATGAGTATTTAATAAATTAAACAGAGAAAGGATCGCAAAAGGATGTTCTTTGAATCGAGAAAACACAAAAGGTAAGTATTTAAATGGATTTCCTTTTTAGTAGTGTCGATGGTAAAAATAAATCAAAAAAATAAATTGTAAAAAATCAACCAATAGAATCGCTAGAATTCTTCTGAAAAGGGCCGTGTGAGTGCCACGTGTCAAAGTGACTTCTCTTTTAATGTATAGGGGGATATCCAACTACCTGGGGGCGAAGTCAGATATTATTTTTACTGGGTGCATTTGATTATATATAAATCAAATAACTGTTAAATATAATGGCATAAGCTAAAAATAGGAGTATCAAACTAAAATTCTTGTAAAATTAATGGGTGCATTTTGACCAAATAAGCCATTTTACCTTGTATATTCTATGTAAAAATTCCTTAATCTAAATAATTATGGGTGCATGTGCATGCACACTCTATAAGCTAGCTTCGCCAACCAATGTGAGTGGGACAAAGCATAAAGATCGTATACTTTAAATATAATGGCATAAGCTAAAAATAGGAGTATCGAACTCAAATTCTTCTGAAATTTATGGGTGCACTTTGACCAAATAAGTTATTTTACCTTGTATGTTCTATGTAAAAATTCCTTAATCTGAATAATTATGGATGCATGTGCATGCACACTCTATAAGCTAGCTTCGCCTCTGACTACCAGTGTGAGTGGGACAAAGCATAAAGATCGTAGTTTCCTATACGAATGTGACATATGAAGTCCTAAGAACAAGTGTGTTACGATATACTCTCTCGTATATATTCCACTCTGGAAGTTCAGTTGAAGACTCATTTTTGGAACCTCGGCTGAGGTGTCCGTCATCCGACTTCGAACCCCGGCCACCACATAATTTACATGCGGAGTTGGTGTGGCGCTCCAGACCACTTAGCGTAACCAGGGGCCCTTAAGTGGACGTTTAAAAATCCTGTCATGGCATGGGTTTAGCCCTGGTGGGCTAGTCGATCACGCTTAGTGGTCGGATACTGGGTTATCAAAAAAAAAGACTCATTTTACAATGATCACGCAAAAAGTCATAATAGAGGTCTAAGTGAATTCAAAACAGTATAAGCAGAAAAAATGAAAACATATTAATTTTCTCACATTATAAAAAGAGAAAAAAACTCATCACTCTTTGGATGACTATAGAGGTGCAGCCCTAAACAGGTAAACGTTTTTAGCATCATCAAAACTCTCTGAAAGTTTAATAAACTCGAAAACTGATGTCTGGTTGAGAAAAACATGAGATATTTGACCTCAATATGAAGTACGTAGACCGGGTGATTGTGGTCGAGTGGTAAGGAGACGGGACTGAGACACCAACATGTTTCAGGTTCGATCCACCTGCTGCGCGAAACTAAGTCACAACTATCCTAGTCACCTAACACGAATATGGGCCCATGCTTTAAGACCCATCTGAATACCCGGAGAGAAGGTCTATCCGTGGACTACACCTCCCCTTTGAAATTAGTTTGGGTTCTTCATGGACTTAGGATACCTCTAGATTAATAAAAAAAAAACTGGTTAACCAAATGGCTTTTCAATCCTTTATTTATAATTGGTTTAACTATTTATAATTTATATTTAAAAGTTCTTTTAAGTTTCAAGAAAAAAGTAAATTTTCTCAATCATCCGAAAACATTATACATTATGAAACCGAATAATATGAAGCATAAGAAGTATATGGAAACAGATAAAATATCTAGAAGTACATTAGTCGCGTCACTGTCCAACATAAACCTTGGCTGCGCAACGTAATCGTCCCGAGAAATGAGACATCTATGGACCAATGAGATATTCAGGCCAACTCCACAGTCATAGCAAAAACAATTCCCACACCTAAAAAGTTACATATAAGAAGAATGATATTCGTACAATGAAACGCAACCTTATATATATACCAAAAAAAAACAAATTCGACCCAAAAAAAAGGAACGGTCTTGCTGCATGCATGGAGGATAGTGTCTAGAATTATTACCTACAAGTCATGTGCCTGCATCCGTCAGAACGTTCAACCATGTGGTTGCATTTGCCGCATTGACGCCATCCATTACGATTCGCCAAAGAGATGAGCTTTGCATTTTGAGTATTAGGATGCAACTTCTTGTTCTCGTTGCACGATAGCATACCATGCCATGGAGCCTTGCAATAGAAGCAGAAGGAGCCACCACATTTCAAGCATCTCCTATGTCCACATGCAGAAGCTAAAACAAGCTTTGTTTTAGACATCAGGTAAGAGCAGCTTTCGTAAGGACAATAAACTCTCTCGTTGTAAGGAATTGAGTTCTCTTCAGTCATCTCTTTCCACCTCAAACTCATGTCGGGAGTCAAAAGCTTTCCGCATATATCAACAGACAGCTGAGTCATGCAGCCATGCTGAAGACAATTCGGTAAGGTTCCATCAAGCAGCGTGACCACTAAATGTTGTGTCACACAGTTCACACAAAACCGATGACCGCATCTACTATCAACAGAAAACATGAGATCATCAGAATCAATGTCTTCGTCGAAACAGATCACACAAGTCTCTTTCTCTTTCGCTGACGACTTGGCTTTATCAAGAGGATGAATAGTTATTCTCCCCATGAGGGTCATGCAGTCGTCTGGTAGTTGTCCCTGATCAGTCCTAAGCAAGAGATTATCTTTCTTAGCGTAAATTGCAACCCCTGATTCTGCTTTCTTAGCTTCATTAACTTGATGAAGAAGATACAAATCTCTTGTGGTTTCTGGCTCCTTTATAACCTTATAAGAAGATGATTCGAGATATGTGCCATAATCCAGCATAGCTAGATTGCTAGACCTGATGAGTCTTCCTCTCATGGTTTGCGCATCATCCTTTAGGAGAGCAATTTTTTTCTTCATTTTCGTGGCTTCAGCCAAACCACGCGTTAGAGCTCTAATCTCAGCTTCGTTGTAGGTCAAGTAGTCGTGGTTATGCCGTCCGTTATTTCGTGGCTTATTTTCACTGAGTTTTCCCGCAGACCCGCCGTGGAAGTCCATTCTACCACCAGTGGTTTCTGGTGTGAGCTTTTTATGAGCTCTCGTCAGAATCTTTCTGTGAGATCTCGTATCAAATGCTAGCGCAAATCATGAAATATATACCGAAACAGTCGGGGAGAATATTGCATTTAGCTAAACATAAGAGGTGGATTAAACCATTTTGTGAAAAGTAATATTCAACTCTTGATAATTCCTAAGGAATAAATGTAAATCCAAAGGAATACATGTAATGTTCTAATTACATTAATCCAACTAGAAATTAAGGCTCCAAATAGGTGAATATTGTATTTGGTCAAACATATTGTTTGTGAATAAAGTATACTAAAACCCTTTTAGCCACTCTTTTTTTCATGCAAATTTATTTATTCATAGTTTTGCAAATGGTACATTGCATGGACGACTATTGCAACCAATCGTTGTCTTTCATTTCACTTTTCCTTCTAAAAACATCTATTGTGATAGGGTTATATAAGGTCATCTTCTCTATTAGGAAACTTCTACTTAGGAAAACAAAATTTTGAACCAGTTCAGTAAACTTATCCGTGCTTAATTGGAGTAAAAACAAAAACGATCATGAACGGTGGGAGTCCACGATTAAATGGCAATGTTAAATCAAATTTGGTTCCTAATTATATAAAACTTGAAGGATAAACTTCTTTACCATCTTGTAGTGTTATAGAACATGACTCCAAGAGTTTTGCAATGTTGCTTCCGTAAGACCTAACCAAAAGGTGGCGAAGAGGCATCAGCTTCTGCACCAAACCACTAAACAGATCGAATCTATTAATCTCCTGCGTGACTCTGAGTGCCTTGAACACCACGAAATTCCCAAACCCATTCCTCGCCAGCCTCATCAACCTGTCTTCATCGCACTCCAAAAGCTCCATCACCACCACATCCATCGACTCCTCAGCATCTAGAAGCTTCTCCACAATGTAGCTTCCATACTTCTTAAACGACAGATCAACGCAATGGCCAAGAAGACTAAACGCAATGTTATACGTGCAACGTGAATCATACAGCTTAAGCACGTGTTGAACCACAAAGTTCCCTGAAGGATGGTTACTTAGGCAGAGAGCGTTGCGTGACACGAAGTCTAGTAGAAGCTTTCTGTAGTGAGAATCATCCACATCGGTTATAACCACGTTTAGGGCGATGCATCCGTACTGATCACGCGCTATGTCGGGCGCGTAGTAGAGTACGTGATCGTACATGATAAATTTCTCCATCGTGTCCAAAACTAGCATAGCTCGAATGGCCACGTAGGATGCGTACTTATCGGTCATGATGTCGTATAACCGGTGCAAGATAGCGGCGTATAATAACGCATCCATGTCATCAGACATTCCGAGGAGCTTTTGCACGTGTATCGAACCGTACATGTTTCTGACAATCTCCAAGAAATAATCGGAGTCTGACGTCAGCAACGAAACAATCTTCAGAAGATGTTCTCGGCTAGTTGTCTTTGAGATAATCTCTCTAAACTCGGACACATATTCCTCGCTAGTCATTAGGTTGAATAGTTTGATTAAGTGCGCGTCTGATGTGGAGGCACGTGGGGAGATAGCAGGAGGAGGAGGAGGAGGAATAGAACCAGCTGAGCTTTCTTCTGAGAGACGGAGACGTTCTAAAGCTTCGTACAAGGTCGGCAACGAGAAGGGATTATTATGGGTCCTCATCGCCAATTAATTGTACAAGAACTAATAGTTTGTGTGATATAATCTTCTTACGTTTGAGAGATTTTGAGAGTGGTTGTTAGATTAGATATGTTGAGGAGGGCATGTAGTGATCTGTATTTATACTAGTGAGACCTACATAGCGTATTAACCTATTCATATCTGGCTTGGACTTTCTCTTTTGGGTAGTTATTTAGGTTTTACTTACATATTTCCATTTATGATCTCCTTAATTATCCTACATGGAGCCTCTAGTTTCCTTTTTCTGTGTGTTTTTTGAACAACCGAAATCCTTAACCAAATAGATTAATGAATTAGTAGCGTTATGTCTTTACTTTTTATTAGTAATTTTTCTTATGATGGAACTACGAAATTCTGATGTTTATGTGTATAAAGTATAAACCCTCATATGTGTTCTATAAGATGCTGGGAACCTGGGACTTTGGAATAGATTAGAACAAGAGATTATTCAAATATATTTCCAATATTGATCTCCTTAATTATCCTCCATGGAGGCTCTAGTTTCCTTTTTCTGTTTGATTCTTTTTGAACTACCGAAATCCTTAATCAAACAGATTAATGAATTTAGGAGATAGATTATAGTTTGGTAAAATTATGAAATTTCTATGATTATATTAAAAAGTTTATGCTCACCCCAATCTCATCCTCCATTTTCTAAATACTAACCCTAATCCAAATAAAAACCTTTACCCCAAATATCAAAATCTAATAATATTACATAATATTATGTAATATTAAACTATACAGAAATTTGTGTGAAGTTTTAAATGTAATAATCTATACATTTTAAATGTGATAATCATTATAAATAGAATACTAGAAATTTGTGTGAAGTTTACACTTGTAGGGGTGTGATTAACTAAATGTTAATATCAAATTTATAAATGTTTAGTTCTGATCAATAATTCAATATTCATAAACCAAGATTTATATCAATAATTATCAAATGATCGTATTCTAAAGTAAGATAAATCTTGATCAGCACGATCCACCATAGATTGAAATAGTTATTTATCCGTTTCCTAATCGAAAGTTCAAATCCAGTTTCAAATAATTTACTTGCATTTCCTAATTCATGCATGAAAAACCTGAGGAAAAATTGCAAATAAAAAAAGAAGCAGTTAGCAAAGGACTTTACTAAAAAATTTATGAGGTGTGATAGATAATGTAATCATGGCATATGGTATATTATTTCAAGCAAGGGACTATGCTATGTAAAATGGTGCATTGTAGAGTTGAAATAGAGATGGTGGAATTTCAATCAAAGTACTATAGTATATACTATATAGTCACTATTACTTTACTGTATATACGCTGCATGCAAGTACAATTTCAAAAATATCAGCCTATATATGTGCAGATCTAGTAAATGAATCAGAACATATACAAAGCTCTGAAACCTGGTTAATTTGATGAACTGTTGCGAAGAAGATTTTTCAACAACTCCAGACAGTCCTGTAAAGAACGATCGAACACTATTACTGCAAATTAAATGCATAGACAAGGAATCTGAACTTATGAATGAGCAGGAAAAGTTTAAGCATTGGAAATGCTTGCAGAAATTTCAGGAAGACAAAATATCATTTTTCCTTCTCAAATGTCAAATTCTTAACAGAACAATAGTGCTATAATATATATTTTAAAAAGAGCTACCGGTGACCTGCACAACCACATCGCCATCTGATCTGAACCCCCTTCCTCCTTGATGATGCTGAAAATCTTTTCAAATGCACCTTCGAAGACAACAACAATTTTTTGGATCTCCTAAAAGTAGTTAATCATCTGCAGATTCGGTGTCTCCTTCAGCCAAAGGCAGAAGAAAACGAACAGTTACATATATATATATATAAGCAGGTTATCTCACCTCTGCTTCACGAGTCAAGTGCGTATGAAGAAGAAGCAACAAATTAAGCCTCGTTCCGGATTACTTGTAAGGCAAACACCAATAAATTACGTTTATGAAACATAATATTCATCCCTTCAAGTTCACCACCAAACTCTTATTTGAGGTTAACTAAAGGCTAAAGATACCACCATACTCTTAAGCAAACCACTAGCAACGTTAAAAAAATATCCAAGATATATAGTTAAATGTTACCTCCCTATCCATCAGCATATCCATGAGTACTCGAGTTATGCCGCGAGGAGTAGTCAAAATAGCTTCCTGCAATCTAAAGAGACGACCATCACCAACAGCGTAAAGACTGCACAAGCCTGCTTTGAGAGTTCATAAGAAGGGCGGTCAAAATCTGGATAGTGTATCGAACATAGAAATCTTCTTCTTCCTGCCATACCAATACCACGAGGCCGACAAACCATATATGATATGATGCACGCATAAACATTTAACAAGACAGAAATATATATTTTTTCGAAAATATATAGAGTAAACTCTAACCAGCAAACACAAAAGAAGAGTGATATTTTCAGCTTCACTAGAGAGCAAATCGGAATTCATAAGAGCCGCATGGACTTCAGTCTTCTGTGCCCTTGCATGATCGATTGGCATTAGAGCGCCAAGAAGAGTTTCTAAGGCAACCTCGAACCTTGACAGAACAATACAATAAGTTACATGGCACAAGTGCACAACACAGTCAGATAGATCAACAAGAAAATCTATAAAGAAACTCTGGATAATCTCACGGTAAAACAAAAAAAAAAGACTTTTTTACTTCTGCAAACGTTATAGTAAAGACTGTCATGCTAGACCAAAATGCATAATGAAAGAAATTAACATTTCCATGTTTCCATCTCCTTTATTATTGAGATTTGGTTCTGAACTATCCTTCTGTTTCCAAAGACTACAAACGTAGAGTTAAAATTCTACGTACTCTCCCAAAAAAAAAACACGTATGTATTTACTCGGCTTCAACAAATGTTGCTACATGTTTCATCAAAAAGTGAGGGAAAGAGGGTCCTCTAGAAATAAAATCTGCACAACCTAAGCAAGAACACAAAAGACATATAGAAAACAAAGATACCGCACCATTTCAACATCGTCCCGTTGGTCCTTCAGACTCTACTTTTGAATTTTTGATCATAACAGACAGAAAATATACTTACCGGAAGCCCCAAAAGCAAGTTGAGCAGCATTACTTTCAGCAACAACACACTCAAGTTCTACAATAGCAGTTTTAAATTATATAATATTACGACATAAAAAACAGCATGTAAGATTACAAACTCTACTTTTGAATTTTTGATCATAACAGACAGAAAATATACTTACCGGAAGCCCCAAAAGCAAGTTGAGCAGCATTACTTTCAGCAACAACAAACTCAAGTTCTACAATAGCAGTTTTAAATTATATAATATTACGACATTTCACCTTCTGAAATGTAATTATAGATCCTCACCTTTCACCTTCTGTAATTATACATCTCATATATATATATTACGACATTTCACCTTACACTAGAAATTAGGACATAATTTTCCAAACATATATGGCCCAATATAAACTGGGTTTGATACACGATTTCAGAACCCCAAAGCCCCTCCCCCTAAGTAGTATTGTGTAATTATAGAAACATTCCCTAAATACTATCGAACAAGATTCATCTTCCCGTGACAACCGCCCAAAAAAAGTCGTTGGGAGTATTCTATATAATGTAGTTTTATATACATACTACAACTCCCACGTCTCTTCCTCTTATTCATCAACATTCTCTTCTATACAATACACCACCAAAGTTTTGACTTTCTTTATTGTCTCTTTTTCCGTCCAACACAAGAATCAAGAATGGCTAAAGGCTCTTCCCAGTCCCAACAATCAACCTCCACCGCCTCCTCAGCCTCTCGTCCCGGTCTGGCTGCTCCTCGTGGATCCGCCGCCGCTACGGCTGGCATGCGTCGTCGCAAGCTCGGTGGCGGTGGAGGTGCATCATCAGGAGGGGGAGGATCCGGTGCAGGAGGAGGATCCAACAACATGCTGAGATTCTACACGGATGAAGCTCCTGGTTTGAAGATATCACCGACGGTTGTTCTCATTATGAGCCTCTGTTTCATTGGGTTTGTCACCGCTCTTCACGTCTTTGGAAAGCTTTACCTTCACAAATCTGGATCCAAAGCTTAGGATCTTGTCATCTTCATCATCTTCTCTCCACCGTATGTCGCTGAGTTTTTCTTTTTCTTTTTGTATGTCTTTTGTTTCCTTTTTGTTCGAACTTGATCTTGGTCTTAATCTTGATCTTGATCCATGTAACTCTTTAAACGTTGAATAAAACATGTTAGTTTTTTTGTGTGGAAATTTGTGTTTAACTACATAAACTTGAAATGTATATTACGAATTATATTTATCTTAATTTTTAACATTGTGTAAAGATTCTTCACAATCAATGGCTCTCTGTTTTCAAATTTACACTCGATCTTGGTTCAGATTATTTTGTATGAAGTTTAAAATCATCCACACTTGCTTCTAATTGAATGGTGAAAGCCGATTCACTTCAGGCAAAATAGACTGAACCAACTTCTCCGAAAAAGGCCCAAGCAAGGAACTCACTTTAGAGCATTCGGTCCGATATCTAGCCCAATAGGATCCATAGGCCCATGAGAAGTGATGGAGATTACTCCAAGAACCAAAATTTTAATACTTGGCTCATGAAAATATGAAATCTTATTTTAACATTACATTTACATCATAATGGGGGTCAAGCTAGCTACTAGAGGGAGACCTTTAGAACAACGTTTATAGCAAAAGTGCTTAAAATCATGTTGGCATTAGAGGGACATGAGGATCCAAACACGAAATGTAATAATTTGATATCGACGACAATTACTCGTACAAGTTTATTAATAATATTACATCAACTCAATTCAAATGGTTTGTTCAAAACCTCAGAAAATAGTTTGCTTTTCTTTTCTTTCTGGTTTGTATAATCTTTTTTTATAAAATAAAATCATCAATAGTAAGAAAGATAGATATCCAAAAGCTGATGATAATTTTAGATTCTTATAAAGAGTTATATAACAAGGAACTGGGGATGTAGAGTTTGGTACTGGAAGTTTGAATTTAAGGTAGAACTTCAACTCAAATGCACATTTTGTTATCTGTTATTTATATATAACCTTTAACTAAAAGCAGAAAAAAACAGAAAAAATAGGACCCAACTTTAACGTAGGCTCCAAATTGACAAATTGCTTTCTCCTTATGGGATACCATTTGTCTCTACAATTTTCTTTTTTCTTGATGGACCCGCTTTTCTTATCACAAGTTGATATATGAAACCTACCTAACCTGTTTTAGTTTCAACGACTGTCTGTACTATTCGCTAATCTCATGGTTAATCAACGTTTCGAGTCAAATTCAACATATCTAATCTTCTTAAAAAGTAATGTTTTATTTAGTAATCAACTAATTAAGAAACAAACAAAACATATTATCATCATTCTTATCACATGCTTCAAAAGTTTTTAAGGATCGATATCTATTTTATATTAGATTTTGCTAATTGCTATCTATGTTAGTAATTCCAGAAAAGTAAGATCATTTATATTTTATTTTATTATTTTGAACACAAAAGATCATGTATATAGAAATATAGAAAGATGAGATGTATATATATACAGTATACTATGCTCAAAGCTTAGGTCACTATTTAAACTCATTTTTTATTTGATATTAGGGTTGATTGTATCTTCGTTACTAAATTACTATGTGGTAGACTCGAGCTTCAAGCATAGCTTCGAGAACAGTTGCAACACGACCAAATTTCCAAATTACAAATTTCACCTGTGTAGGCTCTAGAGTCTAGACCAAGTCACCAACCACATCTAGTCCTAGAATACTAAATGTGTAAAGTAAATTTTACAATTTACATACCAAAAATCCAAAAATGTTTATTTGCAGTGGGTTAATGCGGAACCGCAATTTACTAGAGACATGTAAAAAGGAAAAGTTATACAATTTATTACAAGAAAAAATAATTATAAAATGAGTGAGGGAGGAGGAAAGGAGTGTCTTTAATCGTATTGATACAGAGACACTTGTGACTTTAATAAAGTCATTGGCGTTGCTTTGTCGTTTTCACGACATTTTTTTTTGACACGACGTCTCCTAATTATCCACCACTGTCTTTTTCCTTTTTATATACCTCTCTGCAAAAAACATCTAGTTTTTTTTTTTCTTAATCTTTCTAAATAATAACCTTTTTATTTAAAAAATAATAATTTTATATCTTGTGGAATTTAAATATCTGTATTAAAACTTTTGCATGTGTTTTGTTTGATGTTAATTGTTATGCATCCATAAATATGGCTGCGGAAGTAGTGTTAAAATCGCAAAATTAACCAGTAATGTATTAGTTGGCGATTTTTTTAAGAATGATAATGTTATAGGATAAACCGATTATCTATTTAGTTTAATTTTATTAATCTGGGTCTAGTTCTCTAGTTTAGTAAAGTTTAGCTTTTTTAGTTTACTAAACACTATAGTGTATGTAATCCATTTCTCCTTTTTTTGGAAATTAATCAAACATTAAAACAATCTTCTAAATCCTAATTCTCTGATCATCATGTTCATCATTATCATCCACTTTGAATCTTTGTTCTTTGGATTGACCCTTTTCTTCGTGATCATCTTTTAAACTTTGATTTAGCGGTTCTCAAATTTGGCGGTAAGCTTCTGAATCGGATCTATCGATTACCGTCTCAATAGAGCAAGGGAAAGACAGTTGCCGTCCACGAAATTTAAAATTCAGTGTACTTGTATTAACAGGTTTCATTTATCCCTTGGATCGAAATAGTTTCTAGATCCGATGCTACTTATCTGCAAAAGAAAACATTGCACTTAAAAATCTAAACCTATAAAAATATTTTAATACAATGACAACACAAAGCAATGGGTACGAACTCCGAAGTATCAATAGTAGAAACATGCAGAATCATTTTCACCAATAATGTTATTTGTAAGTGGTTCAAACCAAATTGTCTTATAGCATATTAGATAATTTTACCGTGAAAACCAATATCGTTAGGCACAGTTTGTTTTTTTTTGTTTTTAAATAAAACTCAACAATAACGAATTACATTTGTTTTCATATTTCAAATAGCAATATTATATAAATCTCACTGTCATGTATTTTATGAGTATTTATTAGATGAGACAAGACTGCACATACATATAGATTTACTATAAGCCAATATATATATATTTTTTATTTTTTTTGGGGGTCAAATACTATAAGCCAATATAAGTTTTGTTTACTATAGCTAGAATTTGGTAATAATTGTGTTCTATTGTAAGAAGGAAAAAAAAATCCAATTATATTTGTTTTTAATTAGCATAACAATATATAAAATCATATAGAATTAATTTTTTTAAAAATAAAAATGAAATAGATGCACCAGACTATATATATATAAATTTTAACATCAACTTTGTAAGCAAATATTATTTTTAGTAAGGAAAGAAGCATGTAAGTGATACAAATAAAATGATGATATTTTGACTAGAAAGTTATGACTAGCAGACAGAACAATATGGTAATCGTATCATTAAGATTAAGAGATCACACGTTTCAAGCTGTGGTGCAATATTGGAATGAATAAGATATATTTCTAATCAAATTAGAAATAGTAATTGAGTGCTAAAGAAAAAGAAAGAATATTAAGCTAATTGTAGAACGCTTAATGAAGAGAATTACACGTTTCGACCTATGGTGTGATACTAGAATAAATATATAGTTGTAAACAAATTAGAATAGTAATTAAGTACTAAATAAAAGGAAAGAACATTAAGCTAATTTTAGAAGGCTTGATAAAGAGAATTACACGTTTCGAGCTGTGATGTAATATTAGAATAAATAAGATATATTTCTAATCAAATTAGAATAATAGTAATTAAGTACTAAAGAAAAAGGAAGAATATTAAGCTAATTTTAGAATTAGTTGCACAACAACAAAAAGCAGGGGAGGAAATGAGAAAAGGTGGGACCAGAGGGCAGCAAATATCAAGGGGGGTTATTGTTAGTTGTTGGGACTCACTCAGTCACTCAGAACTCAGAAGAGACTCATTCTTCCTCTCTCTCCCATCTCATCATCCTTTTTGTTTTTGTTATTTTCTTATCAACAAATCAACTTAAAACACTAAATAAGTTAAACAGTTTGCTAATCAATCCTATATGAATACTCCTAATATCCCCCGCACTAAAATAAGCAAAAGTTCATCCAAAATGGCTTTAACAAAAATTTTAATATCTCATTATTTTTTTCTTTCAAATTATAATATGTTTGAATAAACCACTAAAACAAACTTATATTTCAGTTCCAATTTTTCTCCCAACAAATAGTAGTAAGTATATTAGTAGAAATTACTGAATAGTCGTTGGGCTTATTTGATATAAATTTAACACTCTGAATTTTTTATTTTGCATGGTTTTTTATTTTGTGAACTTGCATGGTTTTAAATAGAATATATTACTTCTTTTTTTTTGGGACACCATACAATTATTGTTTATCAATAACAAAAGGCTTTCATAACAAAATGCTGATTTTCATATTTTTTTTGTCTAAAAAAAAAGAGAGAGAGAAAAGTGCTCTTGTTACAAATTGAAAGGAGCCTGGTCTTCTGTCTTTAGCTGGTTGGTTGGCTCTTAACAACGTAATTAAAAGGAACAAAAAAATAATAGCAAAAGCTGATCAAAATTTTAGAATTTAAAAAAAAGAAATTAATACAGAACATCAGTAAAGAAAGAACAAAGATAGATTCCAAACAGATACTGTTTCCTTTGTAAGTGTATGCAAAAGAAAAAAGTGAAATCAATTTGTTCTTTTTTATTATTCCTGAGAAGCTAAGCATTTTCAAAAAACGCTAAATCAATTAAGATGTCATAATACTAAACAGTTAAACGATTAGTGGATATAGTATCTAGAGAGTTTATTAATATATATACATTCATCAACAAATTTCGAAGCAGAAAAATTCAGACGATTAGTGGAATAGTTTAAGCTAATCTCAAGCTTCTTAATAGCAAATTCAACTTTTCTTAGTTTAAGCAAACTGGAAGTAATTAGTAAAAAATGTCAAACTTTTTTTTGGGTGCAAACGTGTGTATATTAATACTATAAATATAGTTTTTGTTGATAAATCTATTTAGGTGAATAAATAATAATTTATTGCGAAAGAAACGAAAAGAAAAGAAAAGAAAGTAAGAAGAAGGCCAAAGAGAGTGCAGGTGTGTGGGTTCTGTCCTGTCTTGGCTTTTGTCTCCCCCGCTTATCTCTCTCTCTCTCTTGTGGCTTTTACTTCAA